GTCTAAATTCCGGATGTGCGGATGATAACTCACTCCGGCCGCGAGGTCTGGAAGCAGTGGGCGGCCGACAGCAGCCAGGTCTCGGACAGGATGGAGGCCCCGCACACGTGGCCATTGGTCATGAAGTGGAGGCTGACCTGCCAGGGCCACTCCCCGATGTCGGCGTCCGTGCCCCCCACAATCCGGTTGTGCTTGTAGGGTCGTTTCCCACAGTCTGATGGAGAGAGAGACGGACGAGGAAGGAGGAAGGAGGAGGAGAGAGAGAGGACCGGGGGTCAGTGTTCCGGCGTTTTCCCCGGGATGTACTCCGTTCCCTCAAGCCCACCCCCAGGACGCAGCTCTCACCGCAGCTCTCCTCGTCCGAGCCGTCCGAGCAGTCCTGGACCTGGTCGCACTCGGCGTTGGACTTGCTCACACACTGGCCGCTCTTGCACTTGAAGGAGAACTCGGTGCACACGTCCGTCTCCGGGGACGCGCCTGGAGAGAGGGAGGCAGGGAGGGGGCCAGTGAGAACACCACGCACCCCCGAACACAGCCCGCAGACCAGCTGAAGGTCAGCAGGTATCGAGAGCAGTGAGACAGGACAGCCTCCGAGTCGAGCCCGCGGACTCCTGCAGGCTCAACAGCGAAACACAGACTACGGGGGCCGCGCCGAGAAACACAGGAACAGGAGGCACCCCTTTACGCCGAGAGCTGCGGGAATGTGGAACACGTAGCCGGATCGTCAGGAGGGGGTGGCGGGGACTCACCCTTCTCGCAGGAGGCCTCGTCGCTGCCGTCCGAGCAGTCCTTCACGCCGTTACACTTCATGTCCAGGCTGATGCACCTGCCGTCCCCACACTTCATCTCGCTCGGCTCGCAGCCTGGGGGGGCGGAGGAGTGCTGGTGAGATTACCGCAGGGGCGCCCCGAGACCTGGCAGGTCCCCGGAAGTCGAGCCCCTAACCAAGAGGTCAGTTTGCTGCCAAATCTCTCCATCTTATCTCCCTTCTCCCCCTTAATTCTCTCTCTCTAATCTCCCTCTTCTCCTGATCCCTGTCCCTCCCCCACTCCTGCTTTCCCTGTCCCTCCCCTACCCATGCCCTCCCTGTCCCTGTCCCTCTCCCTCCCCTACTCCTGCTCTCCCTCTCCCTCTCCACCAGTAGGGAACACCTACTGCAGCCTCTCTCGTCGCTGTTGTCCCCGCAGTCGTTGACGTGGTCGCACACCCAGTACTTCGGCTTGCACATCCCGTTGGCGCAGGAAAACTGGTCGGCGTCGCAGCCTGCGGACACAAGGGGGGGGGGTGGGAACAGTCTCACTCCCAGCAGACACCCCGACATTCGCCCAGGGGCCACTCTCAGCAGCTGCCCACCTGCTCCCGAACGGCTCGGGAAACAAAACCAAGCTCATGGTTTTAGCAAACATGAGCGAGGAAAACCTTGATTTCTTATAAGTTGCACCAGGAAAGGCTTCGTTATGAAACTGCTCATGAAATATTTGCTCTCGTTTTTCCACAACAAACTCATTCAGCTCAGCCAGATACCTGATGCTACTAAAATCACCTGATTGTACATGTACTGTATATACAAAAACAGGAAGAATTTCCTGTATTTCTAACTTTTTTTGCTAAAATTTCAAAATAGAAGACTTCCATATTTTTAGTGGGAACAGGAAACGGAACAAAGGAATTTGAAAGTGCATCCTCAGAATCTGGTTTCCCGGGAATCGATTGGGTTCTCCCAGAAGGAGTTTCCTGGGGGCAATGGGCCGATGGGCAGAGGCTGGTTACTCACTGCACTTGACTTCGTCGCTCATGTCCCCACAGTCATTCCAGCCATCGCACTTCAGCTCCTTGGCAATACAGATCCCAGACGTGCAGGCAAACTGCCCAGGACAAGCTGCTCGGAGAGAGGGACAGGGAGAAGGAGAGAGTGCAGAGACTCCGATTACAGGGCGCAGACAACAGCTC